GAGTAGTTTAGGCGCCTTAGGATGTGGCACTCCCTGTTGTTGCCTCATCATTCGTCCATAATTTCGTTGGAAACGCTTTTGCTGGGTTCTAGTCATCTCGTCGAATGGTATTGCCCTTCCTGCATTATACTGGAACGAATGCCATACATTTGGTCGGCGAGGTTGCGACCTGAATGTTCTCCCATTATCTGCTGGCCTGAACTGCCTCTCAAAAGGCGGTCCCTTGTAGAACGATGTACCTCGCCCTCTACCAGGCTGAGCGTTTGGGAGAAGAGTAGGGCGATGGGGATGCTGCCATATCCCTGGTTTCTCCGTATTCCCACTCACTTCTCTTTTACATCTTGCACACAAGATGTCTTCATCCTTCTTTGGCTCATTCCCTTTAATACGCTCAAAGACACTGGGATGTGGTCCAGGGTCTTCTTCTCCATCATCTATAACCAATTTGAATTTTGGCAACTTGTTTTTGAAACCAGACGTCACCATATTCACTCCAAGTGGCTGTGGAAAAGGATTTTCATCTACTGCCATCTTCTTCTTATCATCGAACGTAATTCGTCCTGATTCAATGGCATCCTGCAATACATGGCGAAAAACCAAGCAATTATTAGTCAAATGTGACCATGCATTATGCCACTTGCAATATTGTTTACCCTTTATTTGTTCAGGGTTTGGCAATTTATGCTTATCGCTCAGCTTTATCTGCTTATCCTTATATAATTTATCAAATATAAGGTCAGCTTTGGTTACATCGAACGAGAGCATCCTAGCTTTTACGTTTTCATCTTTCATAGGTTCATCCTTACCTGATAGTCTAGGCTTAGCCATTATAGGACAAGTATACGTGTCTCCTTTGACTAATTCGGCCAAACACATTTCGGTCTGATCGTATGACTCGTTATTGATGGTATGAACATCAAAATTTGGGTCTCTATAATAAGTACCTTTGCTAGAATTTTTTATCTGCTCTTCTTCTCTTATCAATCGTTCATACCTAATCACGTTCGCGCTCAATTGAAAAAGGTCAGGAAATTCTTTGTCTTGGAATCTCTTTTTTAAATCATAGCTTAAACAACCTTGAGCGATTTTAACAAATTCTTTTTCAGGCAGAGGTACAAAATATTTACTTCTTGTTGTCTTGAACCTTTGGAGGAAACCTTCTGCCCATTCGTTTGGCATTTGACGTAGGCTCGTCAAATCGGCCAAAGTAACTTCATACTCAATCTTATAAAACTGAGCGTGGAATAATTGTTCCAATTGTTGCCATGTTTGAATAGAATTCGCTGCCAAATTTATGAACCAGGAGAAAGCTACTCCTGTTAATGAACTAGGGAAAAATCTCATTTTATGATAATCAGTTACGTCACCACTTTGTAGTGTGAATCGTCATATGTGTTCTAGAGTGGACACCTCCCCTAAACCGGTAAACAGTGAGAATTCTGGCACTTTATACTCTCTGGACCATGGATATGCTTGGTCTATTCAATCAGGATATGGCTTTGTGTAAGTCGGCCTAATGACAGGACATACCCCAAAAGCCATCTGGTCCTGTACGATTTCTATAATCTGATTCCTCAACATGACGTTGGGGTCATATGGAATCCCTACAGGTTGGTTGACCGGTTGATTTGCTTGAGGTTTGATATTTGGTCCTTGATTAGGATTAAAGTTACCATGATTTGGACCATTATTACCATTAGCCTGAAGATTTATTCCCTCATTAACACGTGGGGTATTCTGTCCGTTATTTAGGATATTATCTCTTACATTTGGATTACCCCCCAAGTTAGGCGTATTACTACCATTATTCTGATTTAGCATTACACTATCCTCTTGGTTTGAAGTAGAGGGACCGAAATGTGGTTCTACCCCTTGACTTGGATTTAGGACTGGGGGATTACGTCCCACAACTGCCCTAGTTTGAAAGTGGTTTGCAAGAGGCGTAACTGGTTGACAAATTTGGCCTACTAATTTATTCATTATTTCGTTCAAAGTATTCAGTTGTTTGGCCATGTTGTCATAATGTGCATTCCCATTCTGGGTAAGTCTTTCCATATTATGAATATTTCGAAAATTTACCTGTTCAACGACATCTTGTGTGAGTTCTCCAAGCAGTGCACGCATAGTTCGAAGACTCAACTCTGCCATTGATTCGTAACGACTGTTACTGCTTTGATTCTGTCCATCTATTCGTGAAGAGTTATGCTGCTCCTCATATCGTTCGATCACAGACTGGACTCCTCCCTGACTTGCTGCTTCCTTATCGGATCTCTGAGGCATATTGTTTCACCTTTTGTATTTTCAACACCAAACACCACTGTCCCACTGGGCGTGCCAAATTGTTTCACACGGGTTAGTCGCTAACAATTAAAAAGTGATCAGACGATTGTGTAAGGGACAAAACTCTTGAGACAAAGTCCCAAAAAGGGGCGTTTTTATTGGCGATGACTTTACAATTGGAAAGTAAAAACAGAATGCCTCCAAGGGGCGCAAGCACACGAGTTACTGTAAAAGAAGTGTTTAAATCTAAACTAAGAAATTGAAAGTTACATATTCTCTGTTTGAGAGTGTTTGATTCGGGGTTCTTTGCTCTATGTCTTTTCTTCCTTTTATACTCCTTGGATGATTTCTTCGTGATCAACCGTTTAAGAAACTGCTTGATCGCTCTATAACTGCTCACTTTCCTTGTAGTGGCCAACTTGTCATGGAACTGCCTTCTCTAACTGTTGCCATTACTTTTGTCGTTCAACCGTATTCGATTGAATTCCTTGAATCGTGGAACGTGATAGGACTACCCAATAACTGATTCATTAACTGCACTTTTGGGTAACTATAACTTCTTATATTTGCTAAGATGCTGGGCGACTTGAATGTTTGGACGAGAGCAGAGTCACAGCTCTGGGCGACTGCATGGCAATTCATTCGCTCAAATCTTGGGCGATTTGCAACCTTGGGCGATGGTATTACGATCAACCGTTTAAAAAACTGCTTGATCGCTCTATAACTGCTCACTTTCCTTGTAGTGGCCAACTTGTCATGGAACTGCCTTCTCTAACTGTTGCCATTACTTTTGTCGTTCAACCGTCTTCGATTGAATTCCTTGAATCGTGGAACGTGATAGGACTACCCAATAACTGATTCATTAACTGCACTTTTGGGTAACTATAACTTCTTATGTTTGCTAAGATGCTGGGCGACTTGAATGTTTAGACAAGAGCAGAGTCACAGCTCTGGGCGACTGCATGGCAATTCATTCGCTCAAATCTTGGGCGATTTGCAACCTTGGGCGATGGTATTTTCGCGTTCATGCCTGACTGGGTCGTTCTTTGGGCTATTTGATTTTGGGGATCTTCTAATTGGGCTTCATTCCTTGGGCTATTCAACTTGGACTGAACTTTTTGTGTGTCAACAATAGTCATAATATTTTATCAAATGTGACAAATTTGACTAGCTATTTTTGAATTTCTTCACAAAGTTTATTAATTTTGAAATTGTATTTTAAAATATTTGTAATTATGAATTTTTCTCGAAATGATATACACGTAAGAAAAATATATATAATTTAAAAAGTTATCAAACAATCACATTTTTATTACTTTTTCATCATTTTAAAAGCGTCTCTTAATGAAAAATACAGTACATATACCCAATATTTTAAAAATAAGTAAATTTCTTTGGAGAAAAGTAATAGGCATGGGACTGTGAAAGACAAGTTGACGTTTTCGACAATAAGTTGAAATTTTTTAAAAGCACAAAGCCCAGCGTACTGGGCTTTGTTTTACGTGGGTCTTACCGACCCTTCACATGGGCTCGGCCCCGACGTCAAAAACATAAAATAAATAAAAATTCGACACCACCCTTGAGAAGTGTCGGTAAGACCCTTGTAAGTGTTGGACTTGTATGTCCAACATTGCTCTTTCTAAAATTATAATTTCTCTATTTTAATTTATAAAAATTTTAATTATAAATATTTTCAAATCTGTGAAAGACAAGTTGACGTTTTCGACAATAAGTTGAAATTTTTTAAAAGCACAAAGCCCAGCGTACTGGGCTTTGTTTTACGTGGGTCTTACCGACCCTTCACATGGGCTCGGCCCCGACGCCAAAAACATAAAATAAATAAAAATTCGACACCACCCTTGAGAAGTGTCAGTAAGACCCCTGTAAGTGCTGAACTTGTATGTCCAACATTGCTCTTTCTAAAATTATAATTTCTCTATTTTAATTTATAAAAATTTTAATTATAAATATTTTCAAAACTCTTCGTCTCCATGTTCGTCTCATATTTTTTCAAAACTATTTTTCTTTCAAACTCATTTTCAACCATACATTCACAATATAAAATATTTTTCACATAAATCCAAAAAAAATTTCCTACTTTTTAACCTCACATTTAAAAAAAAAAAATACTATTCAAAATTCATTTTCCCCAAAAACTCTTTAAAAAAGAGACAAACAAGGACATAAATCTTTCTTATATCATTTTGTGTTCATGTTAAGAGTTAGTACTAATATCAAAATTATCTTTCCGATTTTCTGTTTCAAAATTTCTTTATAATTTTTTCTTTTTATATATTTAGATGACAAGAGCATCATTTTAGCTTAAACAAAGTTAATTTAAAGTTTTTTTTTGCC